GGAGAATTCATCACATGCATGTTGGGGATTTCCGATTTTATTAATCTCCAAAGAGCAGCTTTTTGTTTTAGTGACTTTGTTGTCTGTGTCTTTGTCTTCGTTTTTCTGCTTAACGAACTTTTTAATAAAAGGGCTAGATAGAAATATTTTAGGTTTTAAGTTCATATGGTCTGTGCCACAACTATCCGCCCTGCTGTTGTAAAATTGTTACAACTCCAGCAAGACTGATAGGGGAAAAGAGAGAAGACCCACATTACCGATATCAGAAATAAGAGGGTTGACATCACTAGAGTCTTCAAGTAGTAAAAATATAATAAGGGAATATTATGAACAACTTTACACCAATAAATTCAACAATTTAGATGAAACAAATTCCTTGAAAGATACAAAGTGCCAATGCTCACTCAAGAAGAAATAGATGCATATGTTACATTAAACTTGTTATTAAAACACCTTCCCCAAAAGAAAAGTCCAGGTTCTAGGTGACTTCACTGGTGAATTCTACCAACATTAACAAATAAGTAATAGTAACAAATAAGTAGCACAGACTCTTCCAAAAATATTGAAAAGGAAGGATACTCACCTGCTTATTCTGTGAGGCCAGCATTATCCTGATACCAAAACTGACAAAGACTTTATAAGAAAAGAAAATGTCAGACCAATATCCATTATGAATATAAATGAAAAATTCTCAACAAAATGTTAGCAAATTGAATTGAACAATATATAAAAAGGATAATACATCATGACCAATTGGGATTCCAGGAATGCAAGGTTGGTTTAAGATTTGAAAATTCATCAATGTAATTGATCATATTAAAAAACTAAAATAAAATCATGTGATGTCTCAATAGATACATAAAAAGCATTTAACAAAATCCAACATCCATTTCTGATTAAAAAAAAACCAACCTCTCAGCAAGCTGGAAATAGGAGAGAATGTCCTCAGCCTGAGAAAGGACATCGACAAAAAACCTACAGCAGATACACTTAATGGAATGCTTTTTGCCAGAAGATGACCAAGACACGGACGTCTACTCTCACCACTCCTACTTAACATTGTGTAATTGAGGCTATAGTAAGTGCAATGAATGGCAAGCGAAAGAAGTAAAGGCACCAGATTAGAAGGTAAGAACTAAAGCTGTCTGCATTTGCAGATGGTACAATCGCCTCTCTAGGTGCTCTGCCAAGTCAACAGAGAAAGGATGGTCTATTCAACAAATGGTGCCAGGACAGCTGGACAACCAGGTACAAAAGGATGAACTCATACCTTGCACCATATACAAAAACTAACTCATAGACCTAGAGGTAAGCCCTAAAACTATGAAACTTTTACAAGAAAACTTTTATGACCTTAGCTTAAGGAAATATTTCTTAGGTACAAAACCAGAAGCACACTCTATAAAAGAAAAAGGTCATTAAATTGGGCTTGATCAAAATTTAAAACTTCTCTTCTTAAAAATCCACTGTGAATAGAATGAAAAGAAAAGGCACAGATGGGAGAAATATCTGCAAAGCATATATTTGATAAATGATTTGTACCCAGAATATGTAAAGAACTCAACTCTCAATAATAATGAAAATGAACAACATATTTAAAAAATGGACAAAAGAAATTTCACCAAAGAAGATACATGGATGGCAACTAAGTACATAACAAGATGTCCAACAGCTTTAGTCATTTAGGAAATGCAAACTCAAACACCTGGTGTACAGCTGCACACCCTTTAGAAAGGCTGGAAGTCCAAAGGCCGACCAGACCAGGTGTTGGCGAGAAAGTGGAGGACCGGAACTCTGCGCTTCTGGGGAGATGTACTAGTAAAGGGTGCAGTCACTTTGGAAAACAGTTTGTGGCAATTTCTTAAAAAGTCAAACATGTATATAACATATATACATACATAAACATACACACATGAAAACACATTAACGAGTTAGATACACAGGCTTAGAGCACCATGAGAGCGAGACCACGGGCAGGGGCACAGCTGGGCATGAGAACAGCTGTCAACAGCTGGGCAGGGCAGGTCCAAGTTTTGTAGGTGATGTTCATATAAAGCTTGTATGACTTGGGTGACCCTCTTTGGGAAAAAGCATTGAAAAATGAGACATTCCAATTTGGTATAAACTTGAGTATTCATTTAGGACGAACAAGTACCCACACAAGTTCTTGGAGCCTGGACCTCCAGGCCCCTTTCTTCTGAGTCATCTTGAGACTCTTCAGAGAAGCTCCTGGTGGCAACCAGCTGCCCCTCCCCACCTAGAACCCTCAGCCATCTCAGCCCTCAAGGCCACGTGGTGTGGGGTCCTACTGGTGTCGAGCCGCTGTCCCCGCCTGCAGCTGGCGGAGCTGTGGGTGTCCCCTGTGCCGGAGGTCCACACTGCCTCCGGCCTTCAGGCTCTGCGTCTCTGCCTGAAGCTGTCTTCCTCGCCACCCCTGCAGCGCTGCTGCTCAGTAGCTGTGCGAACCCAAGGAGCAGGGCTGTGAGTGTAGTGAGGGCTCCAGAAGGCACTGTGGGGCCCTGGCTGTCTTGTCTCCTTGCTCAACACCCTCCTCAGCTTTGGGCCCCACTGGCCTCTCCTGCTTCCCACCTGGCCTCAGGCCTTGCTCCCAGCGCCCCTCCCCCTGCTCCAGCTTCCCCGCAGTCTTGTGGCATTGCTGTGACCACTACACCGGACCCCAGCAGGTCCAGGAGCTGGGTCCAGGCTGAGGACTTGGAATCCCTGACTCTGCTATGCACTGGCGGTGTGAGTTCAGGCAGGTTCCTCAATCCCGTGTGCTTCAGTGTCCTCATCTGTAAAATGCAGGTGGTAAAAGTCTTCCCTCGGAGGCGCTATGAAGCTTAAAGGATCTAGGAGGGCAGGTGTGTCTGTCGCTTTGTTCATTTGAGTGTCTGCAGCTCCTAGAAGAGTCCCAGGCAGGTGCTAGGTGCTCAGTGAGCACTTCTGTCTGGTCTCCACCCTGGGGCTGCGGCCTCCAGCGAGGACGGAGTGTCCCAGTTCTCCCAACGGCCATCCCATTCCCTTGGGAGCACAGGTCTGCGGGCCTTGCCCTACTGCCCACGGGCCTGGTTAGGGTCTGAGGCTCTGGGATCAGGAGCAAGTATATAGGCAAGTTACATATTATGTGATGTTGGGGTGGGGGGGGGAGAAAAGGGGGCTGCAAAAAAACAAGATCATTCTTGAAAATCCCTTAAGTTGCCTATGAAGTTCAGTATAAATGGTTTATATACATCCCAAATACTAGTTCATTTACATATGGAAGAGAAATTCATGAACACATGAGACCCACTGGAGTTACTATAGGGAAAACCTCAGATTACCAATAGCTGTCTGAGTTTTCCCTCCTTCTGCCTTTATTTTATTTTATTTTACTTTAAAAAGTATTTATTGTTGAAAGTATTACAGATGTTTCCTTTTTCCCCCCATTGACCCCTTCTAGCCCACTACCACCCCTCTCCCCCTCCCCCTTCCCACCATGCCTTCAGCACACTATTGTTTGTGTCCATGGGTTATGCATATATGAATACAAGTTCTTTGGTTGATCACTTCCCTCCCACCTACCCTGCCCCACCTTCCCTCTGAGATCCATCAGTCTGTTCCATGCTTCTATGTCTCTGGATCTGTTTTGTTCATCAGTTTATTTTGTTCATTAGATTCTACATATGAGTGAGATCATGGGATACTTGTCTTTCTCTGACTGCCTTATTTTGCTTAGAATGATACTCTCCAGGTCCCTCCATGCTGTCTCAAAGGCTTAGAGACCCTTCTTTTTTATTGCTGCATCGTATTCCACGGTGTAAATTACCACAGCTTTTTATCCACTCATCTACTGATGGGCACTTGGGCTGTTTCCAGATCTTAGCTATTGTAAATTGTGCTGCTATGAACATAGAGGTGCATATATCCTTTCTGATTGGTGTTTTGGTTTCATAGGATATATTCCTAGAAGTGGGATCACTGGGTAAAATGGCAGTTCTATATTTAATTTTGTGAAGAAACTCCATACTGTTTTACACAATGGCTGCACTTGGTCATGGTGTATGATCTTTTCAATGTATTGCTGGATCAAAATTGAAAATATTTTGTTGAAGATTTTTCATTTGTTGATTTGTTGATGGTAGCCATTCTCACAGGTGTGAGGTGATACCTTATTGTCATTTTAATTTGCATCTCTCTGATGATGCTCAATTAATATTTGACAAAGGAAGCAAGAGCATACAATGAAGTAAAGACAGTTTCTTCAATAAATGGTGTTGGGAAAATTGGACAAATACATGCAAAAAAAAAAAATGAAACTAGACCACCAACTTATACCATACACGAGAATAAACTCAAAATGGATAAAAGACTTAAATGTAAGCTGTGAAACCATAAAAATCCTAGAAGAAACCATACGCAGCAAAATCTCAGGCATCTCTCGTAGCAATATGTTTACCGATACATCGCCTAAGGCAAAGGAAAGTAGGAGCCATACGCAGCAAAATCTCAGGCATCTCTCGTAGCAACATGTTTACAGATACATCGCCTAAGGCAAAGGAAAGTAGGAGAAAAATAAACAAATGGACTACATCAAAATAAAAGGCTTCTGCACAGCAAACGAAACCAACAAAACAAGAAGGGAGCCCCCATCTGCCTTTAGATTAGAGTCCATGTGTGGCTGGGAGCAGGGACAGAGCAGAATTTTGGAATTTTACCCTGGGCCCTACCTTCTCCAAACGGGCCTCCAATCTGTAGGCTTTTTAAAATAGTGCCCCAGGGTGGTTTTAATGATCCTGATTAGATACAGGAAATTAACAAGACTAAAGGAGAAACCCCCAAAAGCATCCGAGGCAGATGCATGAGGCTTGAAAGGATGGGCTGCAAAAGTAGAACCCGTAGCAGGGCTGTGGCTGCAGTTTCAGAGAGATGCCCTTCCCAGCCCAGGAGTAAACGATGACTGGTGTGAGGCTCCGTGTCTGCACAGGGTCCCTGCAGTAAGCCTGTGTCTCCCTGTCTTGCAGGTGGTGCCGGGGAGCGGGAGAAGGTGCCGGCCAGCCCCGAGGGGCTCCTGCTCATGGCCAGTTCTCAGCGTGACATGGAGGACTGGGTGCAGGCCATCCGCCGGGTCATCTGGGCCCCGTTTGGTGGAGGTACTGCTCGTAGCCTGCATGCTCACCCTCTAGAACCCTTGCGTCCAGGTAATCGCGCCCCTCCCGCCTCTCGGGCTGGCAGACCCCTCTTGCCCAGGACCCCTGGCTGGGTCTAGGCTTCTCAGGCAGGCAGTGCTGTCCTCTGCGGCCGGCCCGCGAGGGCTGGCCCCTGGTGCACAGGCAGCCCCGGCAGGAAAACCAGGGCCACTTTCCAGACGTGCCCTCCTGCGCACCTTGGGTTTTGCATGCTCACCTCTGCACCAGACCCTGCTGTGCTTCGTGCGTGAGGTCTGTGCCCGGCTGGAGTGGGCGCTCGGAGTCATAGCAGATGCCTCGCAGTGTCCCTCCCTCTGCGGTGCCTGCGCAGACACAGAGGCCCTGCCCCGGACAGGACAGCAGCAGCTCCATTTACTCACGTCCTCCTGTACTCACACCTGTGTTGGTGCCTAGACTGTGGTGAGTTTTGTTCTAGGCACTGCAGTTCGGTGGGTGGTGAACAAAGTAGATGGTGACTCCGCCCCCTCCCTGTGCTTTCCTGGGGGAGGGTGTGGGGAGGGAAGACAAAGTGAGAGGCAGTGAGAGGCTACAGCCAGTGGGAGGACAGTGGGACCTGGAGGCCAGCTCAGTGAAGTCCCCGGGAGAACGCAGGGAAGAGCACGCAGCAGAGGGACTAGCGAGTGCGTGGGCCCTGAGGTGGGATCGGGCGGTGGGAACACAAGGAATCTCAGGAAGGCAGGTGCGTCTGAGGAGCGAGGGCGCCAGAGTGGGGCCCTGAGGCGAGAGAGGGCACCGGGGCCTGGGAGCACGTGGGGATTTCAGATTTGGTTCTAAATCGATGGGGCATCAGGGAGGCTCTGAGCAAGAGACAGACATGACCTGACTTAGTTGTGTAAAAGGAGCCCCGTGGCTGCCATGCGGGGGTGGACCGCAGACAAGAGTGGAAGCGGCCGTCTGGGACAGTGGGGAAAGGTCACGGGTGAGGGCTGGCGTGGGAGTGAAGACTGAGGAGTGGTCGCTGCAGCTGTTCTGCAGGCGGCGCTGCCGGGTTTGCCGATGGTCTGGACGTGGGGCAGTTGCTGTGTCCATGGGTGGGTGTCCCCATGAATCATCACGAAAAGAGCTTTGCGGGGATGGCCACGCGGCTGGGCTGGGCCGGCGGCTCCCTGCGGCGTGTGTAGAGCAGGGCCTTCGGCCGCCGGGCTCTGGCACAGGAGTCACGGGAGGTTGCTGTGTCCATGGGTGGGTGTCCCCATGAATCATCATGAAAAGAGCTTTGGGGGGGATGGCCACGCGGCTGGGCTGGGCTGGCGGCTCCCTGCGGCGTGTGTAGAGCAGGGCCTTTGGCCGCCGGGCTCTGGCACAGGAGTCACGGGAGTCCTGCTCTCCCACTCGGTGCCTAATCGGTGCCCAGTCCAGACAGGCCAAAGGTCACCTGGGGGCTGGCAGCACATCTCCAGGTCCTGCACGCCTCGTGGGCGGGCCCCTTCCCGCCTCCCCTCCCTGCCCTCCTCTCCATTCCTGGCTGCAGAACTCCTGACACCTTGCAGAGAGCACAGATCTCTTATGTAGTGGAGTTGCTATGACTTTGAAAGTTACAGTTTTCCTCCTGGGCTTCATCCATGGCCTCACACTGTCAGCATAGCCTCCTGCCCCTGATGGTCACAGCGAGCAGGACCCACAGCCCCGAGGTAATGGCCGGGAGGACTCGCCTGCCGAGGGTTCTGGCAGCCGCCACAGGCGTCCTTTGGTGCAAGGTGGTTGATAGTGAGCAGATAGAACATAATAGGCTTCCATGTGACTGGACTTTGCTTTATGATAAGTGGCACCTTTGAACACCGGGAATAGGAGAACATATCCGTGATCTTGGGGTAGAGAAAGATTTGTAAAATGGATTACAGAAAGCATTACTCCTGTAGGAAGAGATTGACAAATTGTACTATATAAAATGAAGAGCATCAGTTCTTTAAAAGGCAGATTGAGAAAATGAAAAGCAGCTATAGATTGAAAGAAAGTGCTTGCTATATATACAACCATCAAATGACTCACCCTTTAGACTCCTACAAACCAATGAGGCCAAGACAGGCAAGCCGGTAGAAACTTAGGCGAGAGACTGGAACAGCCGCTTCGCAGCAGAAGAAACCCCCCTGAGCAGTGGGCATAGGCAGGTGCCCAGCCTCAGCAGTAACCAGGGAAGTGCCCATTAAACCACATCGCGATCCTTCTCACACACCCGCGTGGCTAAAGGGAAAGGACCTTCGGTTCCAGGCGGTGCTGAGGGCAGCAAGCCACAGACACCTGCAGATGGCGCTAGGGAAGTCGTTGGCGGTCTCTGCAGAAGTCGGTGCTGTGCACACCTATGTTTTAGTGGATCTGCTGCTAGGCATGTTGCAAACAGAAATGTGTGCACACGTGTGCCAGGAGACTGTGCACGCCAGATGTTCACAGCAGCCTTATCGATGATGACCTGATGCCAACCAAGTGTGTAACAGCAATACAATGGACAAATAAATAGGATTCGTTCTGAGAACAGAAAACTCACAACAAACCCAACATGCCTGAATCCTAAAAACCCAGTGGGACCAGGGAGGCCTAACAGTGTGCTTTAGGATTTCATGTATGTAAGGCAGAAAAACAGGGCGGCAGTGAGTTATTATTCATGGATAGATAATTAGGCAGCAAAAATATAAAGAAAAGCGAAGAAATGACGCCATAAAAGGATGGTAGTCGCAGTTACACAGGACTTCATCTTGCAATAATGTCTTTTCTGGATGTGTGCATATATTATTATATAAAAAATAAAACAAAGATGGGAAACTGCAAGTCAAGGAATCTGTCTGAGCTCATGACACAGCTAGTTGGGGATCAGAGCTGAGAAATGAAGGCTGCTGTTCTGAGCCCAAGGCTGTGCGTCATCCCAGCCCCACGGGCACTGTCGCACAGGTCTCCTGCACCGCCGTGTGCGCGCCTGCTCAAGCCTTCCCCACGCTCTCTTCCCTCCCTGTCTGTCTGTCTGTCTATCTATCTGTCCTCTCCCCCCCACCCCCCGCTTGCTCACAATGAGGGCCCTGTACAGAATCCCACATAGAAGCCAGACTTGCCCCTCCTTCAACCCCCCCCCTCCCCACCCCACAGTGTTTATCAGACTTCTCAGGCTGTGTGCTGAAGAACTTGCGAGAATTAAAACAGGAACCGTCATCAAAGGTGCTTTATCTCTTTTCTAGAAATCTAGAGGAAACACAGAAACCCCAGGGGTTAGTGATGGCGACATGTCTGGGCAAGCATGGGCACTCCCAGGTGGGCTGTCAGCCTTGGGAGGTTTCCTGCCAAAGCTGTTATTAGCCTGGGTTCCACTGGAAAGGAGGCTTAGAGGATCAGTCCTTCTTTCACTGTTTAATAACGGAGCCCAAGAGCCCTTTCAAGCGTGTTTGTTCTGGCAGAGCGCGGGCCACCTCTGACAGCTGAATGGGCAGCGTGCCCGCTGCGGTTAGAGCCTGGGCGTCCCCACAGAGGAAACGGCAGGCCAGTGGGTCAGGGGAGCCTGGTACCGCTGGTGGCCTGCCCAGGGGTGAAGTCATTGATTCATTCCTTCACTCAGCCAGTCAGTCATTCGCTCAAGAATGTGTGCTAGGGGCCCGAGACACAGCAGTGAGCAGGAAAGACAAGGTCCCTGCCCTCCCGGAGACAGATAACCAAGGCAAGTAAGCCCATTGCAGGTTAGATGGTGATGAGGGAGGGCAAGCAGGAGTGATGGGGGGTGGTCAGAGGTTAGCGACAGTTGAATAAAGGAGATGAAAGGGTGAATTAAACATACTCCTGGGCAGAGAGTTTTGGTGGCAGAGGCTGGAGTTTCCATGATGGAAGAGCAACAAGGAGGCCAGTGTGGCAGGAACAGTCTGTGAGGGGGAGAGGAGGACACAGGTCAGAGAAGTAATGGGTCGTAAGTCGGGAGGGCCTTGTGATCACAGTGATGACTGACTGTTCCTTGGGGTGAGGCGGTGCTATTGACAGGCTTTGGACAGGATGTCAGAGTCTGACTCAGGTTCCAGCAGGAGCCCTCTGACTGCCGTGTGGAGAATAGATAAAAGAATGCAAGTGCGAAAGAGGGAGATCAGTTAGATGCTAATTATACAGCTATACAGGTGAGAGATGTTGGCGTGGCCCAGGAAGGTATTGATGATGAGAAGTAATTGAATTTTTGATGCATGATGAAGGTGAGCCTATAGTAGTTCCCTGTTAGAATGGAAGAAAGGTGTAAGAGAATGAGAGTCATCAAGGTAATTCCAAGGTGTTTTGATCCAAGCAACTGGAAGGCTGGATTAGCTATTAACTGAGGTGAGAAAGACCACAGGAAGTATATTTGGTTGGCAGGAAAATCGAGAGTTTACTTTGGGGCTCAGTCTGAGATACCTGTTGGAGACTCAAGTTTAGAAGTCAAGCAGGCAGTTAGACAGTTAAGTCTAAAGATTAGGAGAGAGGACTGGGTTGGAGAGAGAAACACAAACACATAGATGGGGTTTGAAGCCATGAGACTGGATGAGACACCACCAAGCAAGTATAGGAACAGCAGAGAGCCAGAGCTGAGTCTTGAGCTGCTCCCCAGTAAGAAGTCAGGAGCAGAGGAGGAGCCAGCAGAAGCAGCTGGGAAAGAGGACCAGTGAAGGAGGGGAGCCAGGAGCCAGTGGGGTCCCTGAGATGAGTGAAGAGAATGTCTAAGGAAGAGGAGCAGTGATCAGCTAGCTGTGTGATGCACTGCCAATACAGCAATCAGTAGAGAACAGGCAATGAGCACCACTCATCAGTAACTTGAACAAGGGTGGTTTTGGTGGAGAGCTAGAGATAAGCTTGAAAATAGTAGGTAGGGGAAAGAATAAGAGGTGGGGAATTGGAGTGTGAGCATAGTCAACTCTCTCAAGAAGTTTGCTGGAAAGGAAAAGAGAAATGGAACAGTAGCTGGAGGGGGAAGTCAGGTAGAGTTTTTTGTTTATTACTTTTCTTTAGTT